ATTATAATATTATTATTAATATATTATATATTATTATATTATATAATATATTATATTATATAATATTATTATATTATTAGATCTCTAATATCATGAAGATTATACGTGTCGTATTCTAACGCAATGAGGTGTTGTGTGGTGCTGTGATCGCTCCGGTGAGAGGCACACGCCGCACGCGGTCCATCCGTGTTTGATCAGTTCGATATATGTTTTTTTCCGGGTTCGATATTTTAAATTATAAGTTCATCGTACGTTTTTATTCGACGTCGAAGTTGTTGGACCGATTCTAGCATGAGATTTTAGCGCGACAATTAAAAACAGGGAGGCAGAAACTCGTCAATGAAATAATGGGCACGGTTCACGCTAAAGTACGTATTTATTATTAGAAATTACGGCATAACCTAAAATCTCATTGAAATTCTCAGAATGAGTAATCTCTAATAATATACCCAGATAGATAATTTTAATTTTCGCTCCAATTCCCACGATATCAATCGATGACAATTATAAATAATATATAAATTTACGTAACTTGTATAATGGATTTTTATTAAAGAATGTTATGTATACAGATGTAATGTAATGGAGAAATATATTTTTTTAGGAACCCAGTAATTCTTCAGGCTTGGGTCAATTACCTAAGGAGAATGCCTCCGCAAAGAAACACAATCCATCAAATGCAACGGATGACTTTGTATATCTACAATTTATGTGACAAAATAATTTAACCTTTTGGAACTGACAGTGAATCTATTAGATTTGCTCAATTATAAATCTTTATGTCTTAGAATTTTTAAATATTGACAAATTTGAATCATTCCTATTAAAATATACTTAATATTTATTCTTTTTTATGTAAGTTATGTCATTTTAAAAATAAATTAACTTTTTAATTAATTAACATAAATTAAATGGATTTATAGGTACTTAGAATTAATAATTGTTACAGATTTTAATATCAGCTCCAGAGGGTTAATTCATATTTATAATAGTCTGCCTAGTTCTCTTTTTGCTTTCAAAATTAATTAATTAAGATGCTATTATTTTTTTTGCAGCCATCATTTTCCAATAGCAAATCTCAGTTACATAGAGAAGAAGAAAATATGCAAACGAAAAGCATTGTTCTACAAGCAGTACAGGTATGTCATTCAGAAGTTCAAAAGTCAAGTATCTCATTAGTGGATTTTAAAAATTATTCTATATCATCTCCACCAGGCACGAGTTGACAAAATACATGTGGATGGACTTGTACGAACGAAGGACGACATTATTAAGTCACAAGTGACGGACTTGTTCAAAGCGAAAAATTTCGAGGATGTTATTATACGCGCTTACAAAGTACGAGAGAAGTTAGACGCCCTGGGATGCTTCAGAAATATCGGCATTTACATCGATACCAGTCAAGGACCCGACGCCACACCTGATGGTGTTGAAGTGGGTCTATATAATTAAACAATTTATTCGACAAAGAATAAGTAATTTTTTCAGATTTAAACGTAACGCAGTTTGTTGTTCGTATATGCCATATGCAAGTATGTGTTCATCTGTAATGTTCATGTCTGGATCATGTTTATTGTGTAGGTCACTTTTAAAGTACGTGAAATGAGACGTTTAGTTGGTGGTATCAGCACAATGGTTGGAAATAACGAGGGATCCCTAATTATCGGCGCAAAAGCACCAAATCTGTTTGGCAGAGCAGAACGTATCCAGATGGAATATTCTCACGGTAACAAAAGTTCGATCAACTTCAATGTATCCGCCATTAAACCATTTCCACAGAGCTTATACAACGCAGTGTGAGTTGATATATCTCTCTCTACATCTATTTCTTGTTACATATATTATTAGAGTTGCATTACTGATTAAAATAACATTTTACAGATTAACTAGTACTATATTCAACACAACGCACGATTTCCCATGGTCTGGTTTTAAGCAAAACGACAAGGGACTGCTGTTTGACATGGAACTTAATCAGACAGACACCTCTAAGCACAATTTACAATATGAAGCTGCATTTAGGAACATTAGTTGTTCGAAACAGGCGGCCTTTCATGTTCGAGAGCAATGCGGCCCAAATTTGAAATCTGCACTGAGATATATCTGGACGATAGATAAAAGGGACTGTCCTTTATTCCCCGTTACTGGGAGCTTCTTGCGATTAACGACAGAAATGGCTGGCCTAGGTGGCGATATTGGTTTCTTGAGGAACGAACTCGCCATGCAAACTAATTGGTCACCACACGAGTACCTTGTAAATACTTTCTATCTATTGTGAAACATTCCTTATTTCTAGCTATTCTGACAATTTCTATATGCATTGTAAAATATTTAATCACGAATTGTCTACCTTTGAATAGACATTCCAATTGGGTCTTCAGTCTGGACTGTTGAGTACAATCAGTAACGACATGAAAATAAGTATCGCTGATCATTTCTTCTTGGGAGGTCCACTGAATCTACGTGGATTCGACATGAGAGGATGCGGGCCCCGCTACGAAGGAAATTCTGTGGGTGGCGAGATGTATTGGGCAGCCGCTCTTCACATTTACACGCCGCTCCCATTTAGACCCGGTCGTAACAGTTTCGGGGATTTATTTAGATTGCACGGTTTTATCAATGGCGGCAATTTATCCAATTTCACATACGGTAAGCGAAGTAGTTTCGTAAATTACTGCTACATAGAAGTTTCTTATTAGAAATTGCATTTTTTATTTCTATATAATTGTCCTAATGAAAATGAAAATTGATATTTGATGTCTATATACAAAGCTAGTGAAAATTATATGATTAATTAATTATATGATTAATTCCTAAATAATTGTTTTTCCATTTTTACGTCCACATCAATCTTAATATTATTTGTTTGCAAAGTATATTTCTTAATTTCGTTATATTTTATAATTCGAATAGAGTCGATTAACTCTATGAACTTGTTCAACATTTTCAGATAATCTATACAATGAAAACATGAAGATTTTCACGGAGAATGTTCGCTGTGCTATCGGCGGAGGCATCGCGATGAAGCTGGGGAACATTGCCCGCATAGAATTGAACTTAGTTACACCATTGTTGTTCCTGAGGAGCGACGTGCTCCAGCAATTTCAATTCGGTATTGGTGTTCAATACCTTTGAACTTTTTTCTATCCTTCGATAGTCTTGTATTATTATATTGGATATGTAAATGTAAAAAATAGAAGATTATGTGTAAATTTATTTCTGTTTCTTGTCCGACACACGACAGAAAGTTGGAGTGTACAATATTTGCAATAAAGTCACAGAAAAAGAGAAATCGAATGCTATCTTGGTGAACGCGAAACCTGCTTCTCTACATTGTTAATTAATTATTCGCGTCATTATCAACATTTATCGATGTAATTATTAGCATATATCAAAGAAAGAAAACCAATGATTTGTTCTCCTAATAATATCCTTTAACAATACGAACATATTGTTTTTTGTTATGTTTCTTATAATAATAGTAAAGTCATTTGGTGTGAAAAATGCTATTTCATGTCGTCATATATTTAGAGAAAGAGTTAGATGATCATTACGCGAACTTGTAAAATTTCAATGCAGTATTATTTATGATACTACAGCATAATTATTATATGCTTTTATTATTAAAATTGTATCTTGACTTTTTATTGTGACGCTTGGATTACGACTTTACTATCACAAAGTTCTGCCGATTTCCGTTCACGTGTTTTCTGACGCAATTATTTCACATGTTTCCATTGATTTGCACGACGTGATTTGCACACGTTCGGTAATATCGTTAGTCGAAATAACAATCATTGACAGTAATAATCATGCATGTGTGCAAAAGAGATGTATAAGTAATAAGAGATGGAGAAGGAGAAGGAGCTGGAAAGTTACTCACGACCCTGAGTAACCTGATTATGGAGGAAAAAAGCGAAATCTATGCTAAATCGCTTCGACGCGAGATATCTCATAATCAAGCAGCAAATATCGAATATATACTTATGTTTATGTAATATCTGCATATATTTAGATATTTATTCGCTCGTTTATGTTACCCGTTTATTTTACTGATATACATAACGCAGTTTCGACAAAAATTTCGTCACGCGTACATACGTGATTCAGCTAATTGTTTTTAAATAAGAAATCTCGATGACACACCGATTATCTTTAGAATTTTTCAGCGCCAGATCAGTGAATCGGTGTTCCTGATAAATTTATTAATTGATTTATGATGATATTTTCAGTCGTCACGCAGAACTTATCTTATACCTAATAATAGTTTTTATGAGTTTCATAAAAACTATTATTCATTTCGTTTTTTCATGCTTTCAAATCAGCGACAATTTGAAATGCAATCTTATTCAATAAACATCAATTAATTGTAATATATAACAATATGTAAATGTAATGTAAACGTGTTGTGTACATAATAATTATATTATTGAGTGTGAAATTATAACATTGATGTAATATTACTGTTACTTGCTATTTACCGAATTATTCCAATTTCCAACTTAATTAAAAAAAAACAAATTAATTTACAAATTAATTTACGCTAACACTAGAAAATAACATGAGATTAGAATTAAATAGTAATCGGTTATTCAGAAATATAAATGAAAGTACAAAAATTCAAAATGTATATAAAATTCTTAAATTATTTAATCGTACAATATCTCGATATAATTGACAATTTATTTATCCACAATTTGTATTTATCCTATGCTATGCATATCAGCTATTTATTCGTTACATCTTTTCGTGCTTGTTCAATTTTGAAGCTGTGACCTGCGATGTTTTTCTCCTTAGCTCCTTTTCATGTTCTCTCAAATATCCTTTACTGAAAGTTTATTATTCCATTTAAAATGCAGGAATGTATACAATTGAAACAGAAAAACTATTTATATACTAAGATATGACTATGAAATAAAGGATCATAAGTTATAACCAATTATGACCTTTTTTCGATTTTTTAACATCCAATAATGGAACGCTACGTGTTGGGTCAAATTACATGCACATACATATATACACATATTGTACATTCACATACACTAATGCTACGTAGATAATGCAATGTATGTTGCATTCTTCTTATCTAAATATAGCCTATCGCTAAAGTACATATATATAAACGGAGGGTTAAAATTTGTTGTGCTACAAGTAAACAATGAAAAGAAAAAAACAAGTACAAAATCATCTTTTGCTGTTCTTTACTATTAGGATAATGATCGAATCTTTCTTTTGTTACTATTATTAGAATAATGCTTGATTCTTTCTTTATATGAATATTGCGTTCCAAATAACACGTTTTCTTTTAATTTATTTTTTCAAATTATTTCTTCTTTGTTCACTTTCTCCTTTTTTTTACTAAAAATCGAAAGTCTTTATACTAAATATGTATAAAATGACCTGCCACATTCTAAAGAAATTTTCTTTTTTCTTTCTTCAGTTATTTGATAGTTTCTCATAGGGATTTATTTTTTAATTGCAAATTCTTTATTATAAATTATTCCTTCTTCATTCATCTTTTCTTTTTTTTTTGTTAAAATCGAAAGTCCTTTATGCTGATTGTGAAAGACTAGCACGCAGACATAGTGGCCTGCCTATTTGGACGTCCTGCGTGCTGGTCTTTCATATTCAAGATAAAAGACTTCCGACTTTAAACAAAAAAGAAAAGAAAAAAACAAACAAAACAGGAATAATTTCAGATAAAGAATTTGTAGTTAAACAATTATAAGTTATTATTAAATAAATTATTATTAAAAATAAATTTTTTTTCTATCTTTCTGTACTTTCCTTTATTTCCTATGCCATCTGGAGTAGTTTTTGGGAATTAAAATCGATAGAAAAAAGAAAACGACACGTTGAACGTGCCGATATTTGGTACACACACACACACACACACACACACACACACACACACACACACACACACACACCACACACACATTGACGCATCCTAAAGATTTTTCTCCCTTTATTATCCCTTTCTATTTTATAATGATCTTTTACTTTTATTTTATAATGATTATATACGGTTTCCCTAACTGAAGGTATTCATCAAATATCGGCACACGATATCGTTTTTTTTTTCTGTCAATTCTAATTCCCAAAAACTACAGATAACACATGGAAATAGAAGGAAATAGAAAGATAGAAAAGCAATTTACTTTTAATAATAATTTTAATAATAACTTATTTAATTACAATTCTTTATCAGAAATTATTCTTGTTTCCCTTGCTTTTTCTTTTCTCT